GTGGTCACTGAAATCCCTCCCAAGCTACAATGGCCATCCAGAAACAATTTCCCCAAAAAGGACAACGCTGACTACGTGTGCAGCTAGTATTATGCTGGAATAATAACCACAACAGCTTTTCCCACCCTACAACTTCCTGTAAGGATGGGTGACATGCTGACATGATCTCCACTGGATGCAGGGTGATGTTCAGCTTTTGAACCACTAGGTATATTTGGTCAATCAACAAATACTTATTGGGCACCTACCAAGTGCTTGTCCCATGCTAGGAATTGGGGCTACCGATGATAAAGCTAGAAATGGGATACTAATCTTCTGGAGCTTCTAAATTGGGGAAGGTACTTAGAGATTAAACCACTCAAGTAACTCTTTAATTACAACTGGGTTCAGTGTGATAAAAATGGGTAGGTAGCTTTCCTGTAGGTAGACTTCCATTTCTACCCTAAGAAAAAGGGAATAGCATTAATATGTTTCAAGTAGGACAGTGAAGCAGCATTTGGGAAAGAGAGTCCACTCTGGAGAATGGACTGTATAGGGAGAAGTATGCATGGCCAAAGGCCACTGGGGCACCTAGCAAAAAGTGGTGGCAGTCCAGCCTTGGAGCACGGCAGTTGGGAGAGCTGGGGTGGCTTGAGCGTACATTTAGTAGGAATGACCCGCTATGAGATGGGATCAGGAGAGCTGGTCCAGATGGCATCAGTCCTGGACATTCTTGTACAGGATCCGGTGTTCTCTGATCCTGGGACTGTGGAGATGCCTGGGACTGGGGAAGAGGACCCCAGATATAGGTGAGTATCCTAGACTGGCTACTCACCAGCTGTATGACCTTGGGTGAGTCACACAGCTCTCTATTCACCCCGGTTTTCTTTTCTGAATTATGGAAATATTAACAGCTATCCGTTTCTTAAGGATTAGAAAAAAGAATGGTGTCCAGCACATGGGCTGGAATATAAAAGACTAATGATGGCAGTTGTAATCACTACCACCACCAACACCATTGTCATCACATCATAATTTTGCACGACAAACCCTCAGATTCACACTAAAGCTTCTGATCTGAAATTTCTCAGGTGGAATTTTGGACTTCCAGAACACCAGTGCACAATTCAGTTAGACATTTAAGGGTCTCCATACACATGGTAAATATTTTGAATCTGTGTATTTATTACATGCTTCCCCCCAGAATAAGGCAATAAATCCTTATTCTAACATACCAATAAATCACGACAATTTTCTGACAGGCAGGAGTAAACCACTTGAAGGAAGGGCAAACTTCTAACACATAAAATTTGCTGTAGTCTGTTCAAGTCTGTCCATGGCAAGAGACCATAAGGCAGGGAACATATTCTGGCTAAACACATGTTGAGCATCTATAATCTGAACATACAGATTTTTAAATACTCCAACATCTGAAACCTTTTGAGAGTCAACAAGTTCTACTCCTGGTCTCCTGTGAAGGGTCACAGAGATAATATGGGTACACTAAAAATAGTATGTAAAATCACTTTTGGGCTATGCAAATAAGGTATATACGAAGTATAAATGAACTCTGTGTTCAGACTTAGGTCCAAGATATCTCTTTATATGTGTATGTAAATACTCTAAAGTCTAAAAAATTCCAAATACTTCTGGTTTCCAGCATTTCAGATAAGAGACACTCAATCTGTACCAGGTAAATATGCATCCCACCTCTCCTAAAAGAATCCTGTAAGTATTTAACTTCTAGTATGGATGGATTTCAGCAGTATGGGTTAGGTCTCTAACTTTTAGAAAGAATGTATGATTTTTAATACCGGACAAAAGTGCTTGAGTGAAAAGGGCATTTAAATAGGAAATAAGTGAGAAATGATATAAATGATACTTAACCCATTGCATGGTACTTAGTAAGTGACGAATACATGGCTGAATTATTGTGCTGCTAATAATATTGTTTTCTAGAATAAATCTTGAAACATGGATGTTGTAACTTATTGGAACATTTTGAGGGTATTTAGACACTGTCATTTGACTTTTAAACCTCCTTTTTCTGCTTTATCCCTTTGGTTATACAATAATTGTAGCAGAAGCCAATCTAACCCAATTTGGAAAAGAGAAGTACTTGTTCAAAATAGAAGACACGGAACACATACAAATGTACAGCAGGACAATGACTTAGAAAAATGTCACCAACAATGTGTTAAACTCTGCAGGTACCATCAGAATGGGCAGAAGGGAGGAAATGCGTGAAGAATCTGAAACACAGAATCAAGGAGGACCCATGGGAGACAAAGTGGCAGCAGGTGGATCGCAAGGGCAGCTGGCAGCAAGTTGCAGATGAGGGCTGTGATCGATGGGGCTGAGGGGTTTTCAGGTATTGCTGCTGTGCTTGTGCACATTTTACCATAGGATGCCAGTGTCACCAGGCCCCAGATGTACAAGATTAAAGTAGGTAACCGGAAAGAGAACAAACATGTCCTGGATTATAAATTCCAGCTAGTCTTTCTATCTGCTGAGCACACTATGGTTCAGGAAGGCAGCAAAATGTATGGATTCTCGCTCTTTAGAAATTCAAAATTTTTGCTAACTCAGAAAGGTTTAAGCTTATCTAAGTCAATTATAAGAAGGAAGGTTTAGCTAAATAATTTACTGATGCAAATAAGATATGGGAAGATTTAAGTTGATAGGAAAATCAGAGTCTGGAAAGTGCATTCAACCACTTAAAGAACTCTCTTTGTATCAAATAAACTTTCTTAAGGATCTGTTGAATATAACCTCACTTTCAGACATATATATCACATATATATCATGTATCATATATATAAATCTAAAATATAGTGAAATTGATCTTTCTTCATAAATATTCTAGAATCAAGACCTTTCACAGATTTAAACCATCTACTTTTACACAGGCACTTTGGTATGCAACATTTAAGAGCATGTTTTATGCTAACAGTATTATTATCCCCGACTTCATCACAATAACACCAGCTACCATTATCTGAGCACTTTCCATGTGCTTGGCACTACGTTAAAGATTTTTCATATGTTATTTACATTAACACTATTATTTCCATCTGTATCTTTTTTTTTTTTTCTACAATGAGCAAACTCAGATTAGGGGTTAAGTTCTATCGCTGTGGTCTCCCAGTAGGAAGTGGAAGGGATGGGATTTTGAACAGTGCTGGGCTAAACTGTAGGGCCCAGGCTCTCTGCAGATGGTAAGCCAATGGGAGAGGATAAAATAAAAGATAAATAAAACTGTCAAGCAATAAATGATAAGTGTCAAATGAGAGGTGGGTGATAAATACTAACAGAGAGTAATAGCCCTTGGTAAGTGCCATTGGCTGGTTTGGTAATAACAGCTTTTCTCTGTTCAAGTCTTCATCTTAAAAAAAAGCATGATAGCAGCCCAGGGCTTAAGAACAAGATGACTTAAATGATGGACTGTTCCTGGCTGGTGCCTCGATAGGTTTGTCATATTGAATGCCAGATGTCATGAGTCCTTTGTGCAGAGCAGTGTTTCCAGAGAAAGCAGGTTATTTCCCAGTGTTACAAATCAACAGTTAAGGAGGACCACATCTTTAAATGTATTTCCCACTATTTATATTCAAAAGACATCACAGAGAGCCAAGGAAGAAAAAAGGAGGAAAAAAACCCAGAATCTCCTAGACACATAAAGTTATATAGCATTTTTATCATCTCTATTAAAAAAAAAGAAATTGGAAGCATCTAGACTCTTCAGATTCTTTTATAGCCTGACCTATTTTGCAAACACCAACCACCACATTAAAGGTATCAACAAGATGAGGGTGATTTAGTCCCAACCTAGAGATGTGAAATAAACTACCAGGCAGGTTGTATTAAATCAATCCTGAAATGAATCTTCCAGATATCAAATCTAGGCTTTTCAGGACAGTTTTATTTGCTAATAAGCCTAATAAATTGAAAGCTGCCAGTGTTGTCGTGAGATGTGTACCTTGAAAAGCATAAACGATGTGAAAATGCCAATCTGCAGCAACCAGACATGGCCAAGGATGAGGATGCGAGGAGGAGGGTGTGCAGTGTGGAAGTGACACTGCGGCTGGCTCGCCCTGGTCCCCAGATGGAACCACTCAGGCTCTCCTAGGACTGTTGTCGTTCCTGAGCGAGTTATAGGAGTGAAACACAAGACTCTCCTAGGAAAGCAAAGCAGCCCATAGGGCTTGGACAATTAAAACCTCGTCAATTTTAACGTTTGGAGATCCTTGAAAGGTGATATTCTTGTTTTAGACTGCAGATGACCAGCTTCTATCAAATTATTTTGGTTTCAAGACTTTAAAAATACCAAGAATTGGTGGAAAATCTAATTTTCTTCCACTTTTCCTGGGTTTCCACCAAGTTTGGGAATGATGCCTTTCTTGTTTCCCACCTCCCCTCAGTTTGTTAATGAAGTCTGATCAGTCAGCAGCTGATGTAAGGCCCCCCCACTGTACGGCAGGAAAAATATCAGAGTGGCAGTCAGAGCTGGGTTCAAACTCTGGCTCCATGTACCACCGGGTGGAAGTTGTTTCCTCTTTCCCAGACTCCCTTTTCTCAGCTGCCTGATAGGGATAAGAAGTGCTATTTCGTAAGGTTGTTCTTAGCAGTATATGGGACATTCTATGGAAAGTGCTTAGCACAGTCCCTTGCACATTATGGTTAATAAACTATAGCTGGTATTATGTCTACACTCTACCTAAGTACTGGAGAACAAGAGGGATTATGTTCTTAGAAATGCGGAGTTCAGGCTTGTTTCTGACTGGGGAAACTGAAATCTAGTCTCTGACTTGCCTTCTGCCTCATGTAAGTGGGGAACTTACATTTTTTCATGTTAGTACTGCCACCAGTCCTGACAAAAGGCTTACGGGAAGGGAATAGAATTTGGAGTCTGACAAATTGGAGGTCAAGCCTTATTTCAGGGAGTTAAAGAGCCAGGCTGAACTGACTTTTCCTCATCTACACAATGATGAGGACAACCACAGCTACCTCGTGGTATTTATCAGGGTCAGCCAAGATTATGAACATGAAAAGAGCCTGCACAATATAAAGCTTTGGGATTGTTTGGAAAGTCTCCTTCCAGAAGCTCGCACTGGGCCTGGTACATAGCAAGCAGCCAACTGAGAGGTTGACACCTTTCCCGCTTGTCCACCACAGCTGCATCATTTGCAGGGTAAGTGGTTTGGGGGTGGAAGGACGGGAAACAGGAGAGAAGACACAAGGGTAGGCCGGTGTCCAGGAGATCACAGGACCCAGGCCTGGCTAGTCTGCATAGTGCAGCCCTCAGCAGCCATGACTGGTTCTGCTATGGGAAAATGATTAAGCAGGAACCAAGGAAATAAATTCCAAAACATTTACAGGAACTATTAGAAAAAGGGACTCATTTTCCTGCCAAACTCTATGCTAAAAGATAAATGTGGGGCTGGCCATGGTGGTGCACACCTGTGTTCCCAGCACTCTGGGAGGCTGAAGCAGGAGGAATGAGTTGGAGCCCAATCTAGGCAATTTAGTGGTGTAAAGAGACCCTGTTTCAAAAGAAAGAAAAATGAAAAAGGACTGGGGATATAGCTCAGTATGGAAGCCTTGGGTTCAATCCCAGTATAAAAAAAGTAGGTGTGGCAATGTTAGGAGCCATGATGTAGAAAAGGTCCTAATTATTTATTGAGTCACTAAGTCCAGCCCTGCCTGAAGTTGGTAAATTTTTGGTTCCATCTCTCAGTTAGTCTACTTTTTAAATAATTTTTAATTATCAATGTTATATTTTTGCAAATGAGAATCTGGAGAATGCTTCAACAGTCTATATTGTCTGCTTTTAAATTTCATCTGTGAGTAGATATAGTTTAGGGAGTAATAGTTGGCACTAAATGTTGTTCATATCTATTTCTTTTTAGTGAAGAGGGATAGAATCACTGGTGTACAGTAATACACAGTAATTGGTCTACAGTAACCTACATTTCTGCTTTCATATTTCTTTTCTTGTTCTGGCCAACTGGTTTCTGTCATAATCATTATGGTAATTGTACTGAGACTATATTCTTTTCCTAAGTCTAATACCTGTTTTGATCATTACTTTGCTCTTGACCTTCCCTGGTTATCTTGAATTGCTGCTGGTCATTAAATGGGGCATCAAGATTGCTTGATTGTTTTTCAATCTTCGTCACTCTGGGGTTGCTTGTCAAGGCCCACATGGTTTTTGGGGTCACCAGAATCTAGAGGTAGGATCATAGGTAAACAAATGCCATCTTGCTAGCCCATTCTTGACTCCTCAAGCTGTGTTTTCAGATGGGGTGAAGTCCAGTTGCAGCTTCTGTAGAAAATGGTGTGACGATCTATGGCTAGTGGGTTTAGTAGGAGGAGGTGGAGGCACTGCTGAGCCTAACTAACAGCCAGAGCTCAGATTTATCTGTTCAGAGTCTTAAGTCTTATTCAGCCAGCAGGAGTTGGCGGCTCAGGAAAGCAAGTCAAGTCAAATCAGAGAACTGCTGCTAATTCACATCTTACCACTGATCCTAACATTCATGTCTCTCCTCTCAAGATAGTCAAAAGGAGTGAGGGCATTTACTCCAGGAAGGTAAAATGTGATCCCTTCCCCTAAAGTGGAACAGGGAAGATACAGAAGAACCATTCCAGGATGTTTTCTGTATGAAAAAAATTTTCTGAGCTGAAGACAAGGGAGAAGAAAGCATTTAGCAGCTAGACTAGTTGTTCAAAACTGATATGTGCTATAATTCTCTTGGTAAATTGAGGGAAAAAAGTGATCTCAACCAGTCTAGTTAATCCAAATAGTCTACAGCCATGAGTGGAACACATACTCTATGTTTAAAATACATGTGTAAACTGAGTTGGTGTATGTTGATAGAAGGATAGACCAGGAATAGCAGATCTGAGCAGTAACCCCAGTTCTGGGACTATCTAGTTGGGCGACCATGGACTAACCTCTCTGAATCTTACTTTCATCACTTGTAGAAGCATTATAATAATGCCTGTTTATTCAGAATATTGCTGTATTGGTCAAATGAGAAATGTGAAAATGCTTTGCAAAGCTGGGAAGAATTATACAGATGCAAGGTATTATATGGATGCACAGTATATGTGCATGTATATGCAGTTTATGAATAATATATGAGCTCTGAGTGGCTCAGATTCATTTTGATCAATAATCTCACCTCCATGCTCACACAGAATGTTAGGGACAAACATCCTGGATTAGCACTTTGACAATAACTAGAATGGCATTGAAGAACAGTGTTTAAAAAAGGAAAAACAAACAGCAAACTGCTGACAGTAGCTGTAAGCCACGAACTATCTGAACGAAACTCCTTAGTGAATGCCTTAGCAGTAATTCAATAAACAAAGCCATTCACTTGGTTTCCCCCAAAGTCCTTGGTGGCCTAGCAGCACATATTCTGAAGGTTCACTTCGTTATGCACAGTCCCCATCCTAGGACTAATCTTTTTATAATGAACTTAATCCAGTTAGAACTCCCTAGAATGGCCACATGTCAAAGTAATTGGATAACGGCCTGAGATTTTGTAATTATTCCTATTCCTCAAGCAGAACTGGTTTGAATCTACCCACCCCTCCCATCACTGACATCCCTTCCCAGTGATAAAGCTAATGCCAACGGGGAGAGAGGCAGATGAGCTCTGTCTTGAGGGGCAGGGGTGTTAGCAGGAGAGAACCAAGACACAGAGAAGGGGAAGAGAGGCGGGAGTCAGCTGCTCCTGGTAGACAATCTGTCTCTCTTAATAGGCTGCTCCTTGCAATAAAGAACTGCAGACTTCTGAACGCGTAGGTGTCTCCGCACCATGGGGAAGAACAATTAACCCAGTTGAGAAAATGGTTTTGAACAATTTTGCAGCTGCTGGGGCACTGCTTCCTCCTCATTTTCCAATTTACCTTTCCCCCACTACCCGAAGCCTGCCACGCTCGCCTCTGCTCTTCCCATTACCCTGCAGTAGACAAATCGCAACGTCCCAAACGCACTTTGGAAGAAGAATGGGCAGGTGCAATTATTACGGAATTAAGATGCCAAAAGTGTTCCCTAAAAATGGAAAATTCAAATGAGCAATAAATCTGAAATAATGCCTTCCGCCTTCCAGCTTGTACTTTGCTTGTTGATGGTAAATCTGGGCTTGCCACCCAGCAAGCTGCCCTTCAGCTCTTTTGTAAAGGGACTTAATAGGTCCTTAATAGCAAATGGGCCTCTTACTTGTACCTCTAACTTTGAGCAGAGGGGCAGCCTCATTTAATAAACCCATCTCAATATTGAGAAGCGTCTGCACCTTCAACTCTATAGGTCGCTGAGGAAATAGACAAGAGTATCAGAACCCAACTGAAATTGACTCGTGAGACCACAGGAAAGGAGAAGGGAGAAGGAGACCAAAGGTTTCTTGATTGGCGTTCACTACTTGGTCCCGGGAGAGGCTGACACTTTCTGGCTTGGCCTCAACTCAGTGTCTGTGTTTCTCACTCGTCAATGCCAAGAGACTGCCTGGAGCTCTCCCCACATGCTTAACTTTTAATATGTTCTCAATCTGCTTTAAGTTATTCCCCATATATCAATACTGAGATGGAAATAGTATCCCCTAACTGCCTTAGGGCTAAGGATAGGTGCTTCCTCCCAGCACTTGCGTCAAAACACATGCATATGCGGCTCTGCATGAAGAGGCAGCCAGAGTGTTAGGGAAACCCAAAACCAAGTTTAAAAAGGACACCAGTTCCATTAGGCCTGGGTCCCATCTCTCTTGATTTGTTCTAATCTCTGCGCTTGTGCTGATTTTTATGATTGGATTAGAAACAAGATTCTTCTCCCAGGCTATGGATATAGAAGATCCTCTGCTATAAACTATTTCTAAATTCCTTGTTACAATAATAGCTGAGCCCGACATGTTGACGGACTAAGCTCTGTGTGCTGTACTCTCATTCGGTTCTTACAAGAATGCTCACAGAGTCACATATAATGCAGGTGGTGAAACTGAGGATCGGAGGTGGGAAGCAATTTCCCCACATTCCTCTGTCTGGGCTTTGGATCTGTGCTTATAATTACCACACATGTTGGTTTTGTGACTCTCCCCCATTGCTGCCAACCTGGGAACCTTTATCCAAGGGCTGGACAGCCATGAAGGAGTGGACCCCAGTTCTCTCACTCACTCCAGCTTCTTTGTACTAGAGAACCAGTCCTGCCCCAGTACGAGCAGGGACAGAGGACCTGAAGTCACCCACAAACACAGCCACCCGCAAACACAATCACAGGCCCGCACTGTGGGACTGGGACACTGAGCCTTGACTCCGACATACCGGCAAACAGGCCTGGCCCTGCCTTGTCCTATGGTGCCTTCTGCAGCCCCAAGGGGCAGCGGCTCCCAGGGAGGGTTTTTCCTGGTCCCAGGGGTGCTCCCCAGTGCTGTTCACATAGCACAACAGTGACATCCAGGGGAGAGGCTGGGTGATGGCAGGGAACACTGAACTCCAGTATTAGGTTTCAGGGCTGATTTTCAAGCCCACAGACCCTCAGTCACCCAGAGAGGAGCTTCTGGGGGCTTACCGGTTAAACGAACCTCCTGCAGCTTGCCTGGGGTCGTTTTATGTGGATCTCACGCCTGCCTCAAAGCCCCACCCTCACCTCTCTCGTGTGTCTCAGTGACTCCAGGGCCCAAGGCAGGTGTCTGCTGTGGAGCTCACTGGGTACACAGCTGCTGCTCTCCCAACACCTCCACTCACGGAGCCTTTTATCAGCACTACCTGATGATGGAGACAAGTTCTAGGACTATACATTAACTCAGCCCTTGTCTTAAAGAGAAAAGGTTTCACAGCAAATGGCCAATGTTTGTGGGCGGGAGCTTGTCCTTATCACTGCTATGTGGGTCACCAGTATCGTATAATTTACAGGCACTGCGCTGTTCTGTTCATTTTGATCAGCAATGTCAAGAGTGAGGGTTGCCTATGAAAGCAAAGAACATACACTGCACACGTAGTTAGGCTCCAAGCACACACACATCGAAATATGCACGTATTCAAACACCTAAACAGAGACCAGGGGCAAAACAAACTGAAAGGCTGAAGAAGTAAGAGAAAACGGATCTTTGGCTCTACCGGTGCCATTTTCTGGGAGAACATTGGATCAGAGGCTGCTCACCTGGTTCCTGACTACAGCCTGTGGTTCTCTGCAGATGAATTCGGGGATAGTCCTTGGGCCCCTCAGGAGCTGTGGATAGAGCGGCTGCCGGCAGGCTGGGTGTCTGGACTTGCCTCCCATAGGCCTTGCTTCCTACTCTGTTTGGCCAGGAGGTGGCAGCACAGAGATGCAGCAGAACTGGCCCAAGGAGGCGGCAGGAAAGGAAAACTTGTGGTGTTGGGCCCGGATGATTTCTGCCCCTCAGCCTAGCCCCTGGTAGAAGCAGGGCCACCTGTTCTTCTGACTGAAAGAAGCTGTGGAGCTTCCGGCATTACTGTTAAGGGCCCGTTCCTCTGCATACTTGAGCTGGCTTGGTGGAATCCTTTTCAACCAGGGCCTGAGGCTGTGGGGGTCCGGGAGCCCTAAGCCGTGGAGAAGAAGCCTCAAAGGTCTTTCCCATCATCCCAGGGCAGAAGCAGGTGGGAAAACACACTGGGAACTGCTGCCTGTAGAAAGGCTGGTGAATGACCACTGTCTCTCTTTCTCTTTCAGACTGGATGCGCCACCTCGGCATCATACCTGCCTTGTCCAGGGCGTGGTACAGTGTCTGGCACACTGTGGGTGCCAACCAGTATTTGACTTGTAGCCATGATGGCAGCAGGGAATAAGGGCAGCTGAGGTGAGCTGTGGGCTCAGTTTGGAGCAGGTAAGATTTAGGTGGGATGTAATTTAGGTGCAAGCAGAGCACAGAGCTGGAGCCGGTGGGAGCTATGGGTGGCTGCAGGTAACAGCCTCCTCTGAGCACCCGAGGGAAATGACCTCAGGTCCAGATGGTGTACGACTCTCTGGAGACTTTTAAGCAAAGAAGAATCTTATGGAAAGGTCTGAGGGATTGTTTTGCTGTAAAGTACAGCAGGACTCAGAATTTTAATCTTTCTTTCCCTTTATTACATTTTTCTATTTGTCTAACTCTTGCTCTAGAAAGAAAAAAATAACATGGGCTTCCTACATGAAATACACAAACGGGGGCACTCTGGGAGACATGGAGAAAGTGAGGGCTCTGTCACTTGGGTCCCCTCTGGGTTGTAATTCTTTCTCTCAGAGTCATTCCAAGGCATCTGTGAATACTCCAGGGCTTTGCCCAAGTGGGTTTGGAAACCACAGGTGGGGACTGGCTATGAAGGCCCAGGCCTGGGTTCTGGTCTGGCAGGGTCTGGGAGGGGTGAGCAAAGGGGAGGCTTAGGAATTGACAAACATGTGGACTCAGATTGGGAAATGAGTTGCAGGGAAGGAGGAGACCGAGGTTGCAGGCAGAGAGGAGACCGAGGTAGCAGACAGTGGGTGCTGGTCCTGGCTGGCCACTTTGTGGCCATCTTCTGGGACTGTCAAGAGAAGAATGTGGACTAGAGCAGTGGGTGCTGTGCCTGGCTATCTTTTGCACTCCCCTGCAGAACTGGTCAAAAATGCAGAAGCCCAGGCTCCACTGTATATCTCCTTGGTCAGAATCACCCTGTGGTGGGGTCAGAGCAGTTGAATTTTTTTCAAGCATTTTCAAGAACTCTGATGATCAGGAGAATGGGGAGCCCTTGAACAAGCTGACCTGTGAGATTCCCTTCACCTGTCGATGATCCAAGGTTCTGAAATCCTGAGTTGAACTCTAGTCATATCCGACTGAAGTAGGTTAAGTGAAGGTTCTTTCCCAATAATGTGTTCCTGGGATAGAAGCCATAGCAATTTCTGAGAGTCATAGGGACTGCTAGGTATCTCCATGAATTTGCCAAGTGGAAAGCTGCCATGCAAAATTCAAAGAAATGAGGGTTCCAGTGAAGTTTCATGTCTGTGCTACATCACATATGTGTAGCTCCTTCAACCCCAGCCCCTGGGATGCATCACACAGATGTTCTCACTCTCATTGCAGGCAGCCCATCATCTAGAGAAAGACTGCTTTCAAAGTCTTTCAAAACATGTGTCAGGTATATACACATTGGTCTAAAAATAGCTGAGCAGATTAAGTAAAAACCAAACCAAAACAAAACATAAGACAAATATGCCACGGTGGAGGCGAATCTTTGTTAGACTTAAGTTCAGAAGCCAATGTGTAGGGCAAAGTTGTAGACAGTTAAAATTATCCTTGAAAATCCCACCTGTAAAATATAGCATTAGATAGTTTTGAATATCCAATTCTGTGTGGTCTGGATTTTTGGTTTCTTTAAAATTTGTATATTGAAACATAATCACCGCTGTAGTGACATTTGGAGGAGGGGCTTTGGAGGATGGTTAAATATTGAGTGTGCAGCCACATGAATGGGATTAGTAGCCTTATAAAAGGGGTCTCTTGTTGTCCCTTCCACCATGTGAGGACACAGCTAGAAAGCAGCATCTGTGAGCAAAGAATCAGGTTCTCACCAGACACCAAATCCGCCAGAGCCTTGATCTTGGATTTTCTAGTCTCCAGAGCTGTGAGAAATACATTTCTGCTGTTGTAAGTCTCTCAGTCTGTGGTATTTTGTTAAGGCAGCCTTGTTGCCCAAAGACAAGCTCTATATAGTAATATGTGCATGTTCAGATATAAAGCAGAGGTTGATGAAAACTTTTGCTTAGAAGACTAGATGTCAGTATTTTAGTTCATGTTACACATTGTCCCTACTCTTCAATTGTGCCATTATAACATGCTCATGAAAAAGCATAACAGCATTCCAACAAAACTATTTAAAAAACAGGCTGTGAACCAGATTTGGCCCAGGGGCTAGTCCTAGTTTGCTGATCTGTTATAAAACACACAAGAGGGAAGGACCCACCTTACACAACATACCCGTCTAAAATACTACCAAGAAGGATAGGGTATGGGAGTGAGGAGTAGATTCATGTTTTCGACCTCAGGCTCAGCCTGGGTATACATTAGGCAGATGAAATCGCCCAGTACATAAATAAGTGATGGCAAACCATTTACAGAGAGGACCCAAACTGCAATCGAAAATCCACTTATTTATTGTAAAGTGCCAACACTACAATTAAACTTGAATACTGAGGTTTTAGTTTAGAAAAAACAACTCATACACTGATATCTTTTGTCTCAACAGAAATACAAATAATGTACATGCCATAATAAATGATTATGCCTTACTGATAAATGATTTATCGGCTTCATGCTGTCAGCACGCAGAATTGAATTCCATAAGTTGAATAATTTCACAATCTAATATATAATTATTACAAGCACACCCCAAGTCTGGTTGTATATTTCTAATTTCAAGGAGTTATAATGCATCATGTTGATGGAGAGTATAGCACCTCTGAATCTTGGGTGGCAAGAGAGGAAATACAGTAAAAGTCAGATTCTGTCCCTTTGTCTAAGGAGATAAAAGTAACAAAAATAATTGACCTCAGGGTGGAGGATTAGGTAAGGAGAGCAGTGCTGTGGGAAATGATAGCCCAAGATATTTTCATCACCAGCATTTCTGCATGAGAATAACACCACTGGTTTTTGTTTGTTTTTATCATGGTTATAGCACAAGACTTCTCGTGAAAACCTTACAGATTCTTGGTTTCATAGTTAAGACAGGAACTTATGTCAGCTCTGGTGAAAGAAGCAAGGGATTTTCAGCTGTTAACAGTGCTTATTAGTAAGAAAAATATTGCTTTAGGCCACAGGAAGGAGCTGTACCACCTGATGGGAAGGCTGGGAAACGGGCTCCCGGCCTGCACTCTACAGGAGGGAGCCTCTTTCTAAGATCTCCTCAGACTCGCAGGCTGACTCAGGCCTGGCCTGACCTGTCCCTCCTCTTTCTTCCCACAAAGCTGTCTCATGGAGCGAGAGGCCCCTGCCAAAGAAGGGTGCAGAGGAAAAGCCTGTAACAGATTCCCAGGTACGATCTTTCCTGCACAGGGCTGCTGTGGAGTGGAAAATATACTACGCAGCCCTAGACAGATGCATGGGGAAGACCATCGAACCCCTCATTCCCAGCACCCAGGAGACCCACCTTGCTCCGCTACTCTAACCTGTCTTGAATCTTGTGGTATTTCTTGGGGAAGTAGGAGGCAGCTCCAGAGTTGGGAAATAGATTTAATGAGAACTATTCCCCAAAAGTTCCCAAGTGCTGTGGGTTATAAATGAAGTCATGAATCATGGGGCCGCCTGTAATATTTTATAAGTGGTGTTGGAAAACCGCCTCTAATAAACTTAGGGGAAGATGGATCACCTTTCCAAAAAAGCAGAAAAGGATGTTGGAGGCATAAATATACCCAAAGACCAGATTTTGATCCATCTCTAGTGAAGAAGCCAGGCCCCTTCCCCCTCCCTCCGGCATTCCCAGGCTCCAGCTGAAAGTGCTTTATTACTGGAGCTCGGCACACGTTTACAATTCAGGCTGATTGCTGGCACCAGCGTCACATGTGGTATTACTTCCCCCAAGGTGCTGTGTTCTGTGCCCCACTGCATCACCCCCAGAAGTTCCCTCCGACATTCCCCTACAATCTCTGAGACCCGAGGTCTGTCTTTTGGGGAGGAGGTGGTGGAGGGGACAGAGGAAATGCTGAAAAGATAGGAGAGAAGAGAAAGGCACAAAAGTGAAAGAAAAAAGGGAAAAAGAAGAAAAGACAAAGGAGAGAATAGTAAGAAAAGGAATATGGAATGGAAGCAGAGAAGAGGAGACAAACCCATGGCAGGCTGTCCCTACTGGAGGATTTATTTACTTTGATACCTTCTCCAGAGATGTAGGTATTGCTAAAGTAAAAATTATTCATGATCCTGTTAAGCCATGGTAGGGAAGGCAAAATTCAGGACCACTGTGATAGGTGTGTAGACCATGGAAATAGGGCTTTTTAGTAGTCAAAAGAGACTAAGCTCAACATGGGATGTATTAAACTTATAGGTAAGGAGCAGAGTGGTGAGGTGGGGGACTCATGGATAGAAAATTACTAAATTGAAACATCAGGGGTAAGGTGATTCTGGCTAAATTAAAATGATGAGATTCTTGCTGAAGACAGGCAGAGTGATCAATATCTCCTGGGGGAATGGTGCAGGATACAAAAATATCAATGTGGCCAGATACTGAGAGTGGGGGACTCTGGTCAAAGCACCTTAGCAGGATTCTTGTTAAAACTGGGCAATGTAGAGATGAATGTGAAAATTCAAAAGTCATGGCCTGGCTGGAAAGAGGATTTGGAGGAGTCCGATCATGCAAAGGGAAAGACTCCTGACCAGTGTCACCCAAATGCTTGTTCCTCCTCCCACGGCTACGGCTGTAAGCAGATTGAGGCAACTTTTCTCCCTTCACCTAGCAGGTGTTTCCGAGGCTCACATCATGCTTGGGTCAAAGAGGGCACTGTAAAGAAACAGTAAGTTAGCAAGGTGTCTGCCCCCTAGCACTTGACAGCATTTTAGCAATTATGATCACCCAGCGACTCCTCCATGAGCCCACAGTTTAGGGAGGAAAATCAGCACACACAATGGTAAATGTGAAACTATTATCTTTTCTTTCTCGGCCTCTGTCTACGCAAAGCAGTTCATTCAGAAACAGGAACTCAGCTGGTTCTCATGTGTACAATAAAGGTAAGTATTTCATAGGGTTGTGGCAATTAGTGCGATAATTAGGGCAGAGCACTGTGCAGGTCTCCGGGTACACAGAGGTGCCTCCCAACCTCCTGGCCCCAAGGCACAGCCCGGTGTCTGGATCTCACACAGGAGAAGCTCTGCACAGCCTTGCTGCATGAATATAGGCGCCGAATGTATATTCACACCCACACTCCCTTTGGGGATCCATAATTTACTTTCAGCCCAGGGAATTGGGGCAACAGAATCAAACATTTACTGTGCACAAAGAGCCCTCGTACATAAATATTTATTTGCCCTTCAAAATGTTTTCCCTGTTGCCGGCAGCTGAGAACCGAAGAAATGCTATATTTAAGCATCTCAGTTGATGGCTTCTAGAATACAGCCATAATGGTCCCCCAAATAGGTTTTTCCTGTGGAGCTGGGAGCTGAGAAAATTTTACTTCAAAGGTGTCATTTCAGCTCTGGGGAAACACGTGTCAGTCCAGAGCCCAACAATTCACTGAAAATTGTCTTACTCTCCATGATCAAGCGCAGGAAGGCAGGAGGCAGCTGAAGGTGGGAGAATGTTCTGCTCTTGGCTTCTCTAACGGAGTTAACCTCGGGCAGGTTATTTAATGTCCTGAGCCCAACTGCTCATCAATAAATGGGGTCCAACAACCGAGCTTTGTCAGGCTTTGAGAGGTCACAGATGATGATAAAAATGAGGCAACTGTGGCTGACGTATACAAAGTCCTTCAAAATGTTAGTTATTATCACTAATTATTTATTTAGAGTACTCGTTTAGTTTTGCCAGGACTAGCTTTGCAAAAACACTGTCTGTGTGAGTGAAAGAAGGAGAATTCACTTCTAGCACCTGTAAGAGTCCTGGCTCACAGCTGGAAGGTGCTTAACTTTCTGGAAAGTGCTATAGGTGCCTGGAGAGAATGACTCTTGCCAGTTAATCAACAGAATACTTCAACGTGGGTTAGCGATGTTTTCCAGACAGAAAAACTAGGGTTTGAAGGTACAAGATGTGTTTAAGGTCATTTGAAGCCAAGATTTTCAGTCTCCAAAGCCTAAGAGCTTAACCCTCACTGGAATTCAAACTCACCAGTGTGGAAGGAAAGTCACACCAAGCGGAGAAGTGTCTGGGAGTAAAGATATTTTGTAAACTGGAAAGTAAAGGGTTTGTTTAAAGAGTACAGTTGTTGCAGCTGATCATTGATATGAAAGAGCACAGGGCAGGGTGGCCAGACCTTCTCTTTTTATGAGCAAAACAAAAGTTCTGGATTTTTAATAGTACCCTTTTTTTTTAATGGTGACATGTGCCTATGTGTCAGATCTGAGCTAAGGTCTAAAGCTCTCCCGGTTCCCATTTCTTCCCCTGATCCTTTCGTCCAAAGACTTCAGGAGGTTTTGGGGAGATCTAGACGGAGGCCTGTTTCCTGCTTACCTTAGGCCACACAGTGGCGCTCCTGGAGGCCCTGCCTGAGGTGGGGGTCAGCTCCCCAGGTATTTCCCATTTAATTTTGATGTGCAGATTTTAACAAGAGCAATTTATAAGTTTGACATTGTCAATGGTGGTCAGAATGGCTTCTTACACTAATACAAAGGCTGCCAGAACCCATTAGCAAATCAATTGGGTAGTGCAGTGTTTTTGAAAAGAAAATTATTTTCCTATTTTTGCAGGTTAGACAGCAATGCTCCCCAGAGACTCCCCCGTGGCAGAGCTCTGTGTGGCTCCTTTCTCTAAGTGGTGAATGCTAATAGATAGGACTAAACTGCTTCCTGTGCTCCCTCCTCACACCGCCCCTTCCTTTCCCAACTACGCTCATGCCTGGTCACTAGTTCAAGTTGCAGGTGTATATTGAGCCCTTACCATGTGTTAGGTCGTACCAAAACCTGAGGACTAAGCCCGGGGAAGGTAAGAACCCAAACTGAATGGCCCTGACTATGCTGTGGTAGATCCACACCGGATTAGCTATGAGGTCAGGTGAACAGATACCTGTCAGGGGCAGGCTTGGGAAATGTACCATCATCAGACCAACTTCCAAGCCTCTGTGAGGGCTCTCAATGACAGTCGGCTTTAGGCCGCTGCTATGAGGTTAAAAGTAAAAGCAGGATTTGAAAAGCTGTGTTGCAGGACAGGGGTCTGTGTATGTGTGGGTGGGAGGAATTCGGCCCAACACCCGCACAGAAGTGGGCTCCAATGGCGAGTCTGTTTAAATTTTGCTTTGTGGCTCAGATGGAATCTCCCCTCCTCCCCTCCCCATTCCTCTCCAAATCCCACTAAAACATCTCTGTCAGGAGCTGTGACCTCAGGTTTGGGGTTACCACACCTGCTGAATCTGGTCTTTTGGTGCTCTAAGATTGATAGGAGAGACCCGCCAACCTGACAGGTTGACCACGTCCACGCTAGCAAAACAGAAGGGAAGCAACTGCAAGCTCTGGACACAGCTACACCAGGGACAAAGGAAACCTATTTTGAGTTTTAAAGGGCAAAAAAGATAAACAAATGATACCCATGGAACTAGAAAACAAACTTTTGTAGAAAGAAATCAAATTCCTTCACACATCATTTCAAATGTAAATCTATCAACCTCTTCATACATACCAGCTATTAGCAGTACTACTGGAGCAAAATGTCTTCAAGAACAGCCCATTATTGTAAAGGCTATTAAAAGCCACTACGTTGTCTGCTAAGACCCTAGTGTACAAAAAAGAGTTCAAGAAAGTCAAGGTAAAGATGGTGTCTATGTATGAGACAAGGTTGACTTGGCAGGCAATGGTAATATGGATGCAAAGTACATTTGAAGAAATATTAAGGTTCATTTGAAAAATAGAATTACCTTTGCCTTGGAATGATAAGGCTTAATCAGCTGACCCATGAGCCATCATAGAGAAGGAGATCTGTCTTCCGGTAGCTAGATTTTGAAAGTATCACTGAGATACAGACCCAAAGATCTAATTTTATTTATTCCAGGTCTGAGCAGTCTTCAATTCAAGGTAGATATTTTTGTTAATCTTGGCCCTTTGTAAAGTGTATTAATGTGGGAACTGGTGGTGAAGGACTTGTAAAATCTGAGCATCTCAGAGATTAATTGGCACACACACCACCTAGGGGATACTGTCAGCGTGTGGTTTCTGTTCAGATAGGGCTCAGGATCCTGCATTTCTCACAAGATCTTAGGTGATGCCAATGCTGTGGGTTCCTAGGCCCATTTTTTTTTTTTTTTTAAAAACAGTACCTAGCAATAGTTGTCAAGCTTGGTTGTGCATCAGAATAGCTTGTGAAGCTGGTTATAGCGAACAGGTTCCTGGGCCCAAGCCCCAGAGTTTTAACTACAAGTTGCTCAGGTGTGCAGTTTCCACAAGCTCTTCTGGTGGTTATGTTGCGCCCGCTACTGTGTACAAGTGGGGTTAGGGAGGTTCAAGAGGCCAGGGCTTCTTGTCCTGATTCTACTACTTGGTCACAAGTTGCTTAACCACTCTGAGTTTCAAGCGCTTCACCGCATGCATGGAGGTGAGGTTTCATTCACATCAGTTGTCCAGTTTGATAGACTGAACACTGTCCATTCCCTCAGGTTTCAGGAAACATTTGAAACAGGAATTCTCATCAAACCATTTCATTTTCGTCTCTTCCCTCTGTGCCCAACTGCTTTTCTCAAACTTTTTCGAGGGATGCTTGAAAATGGTTGTCTTCAGGCCTGTCACTTAGACAATGCTAGTGCACTGGCTGCAGTCCTCCAGCAAAGCGTTCTGATTAACTATATATGATTGGCCTATAAGCTACTTGCTCATCATATCTTTCTAGAAATTAAATAAATTGCGATAAAATGGGATAAAATTAGGATACAATTCACTTAGCATGAAAAGCTTTTTTTAAAAAGCGCTTATTGCTGATCAGAAAATCTTGCTAAGATCTCATTATACATGAACATTAGTTATCTACCCAGAAGGATGAAGGATTAATAGTTCACAGCTTGAGGGAACTCCACATGGTATTTGTGTCCAGCTCCCCGTTTCTCTGGAGACTTTATCATAAGTCAGGCATTGTCCTTGGGGTTTTACATACACTATCTTTTTTAGTGCCCGCAAAACTCCTGTGAGACAGGTACCAACATCCCTGCTTTACAGATAAAGTAATTTAGGCCCCAAGAAAAATACTTTCTTTAGTGTAAGCCAACCAGCTAGTAGAGACCGCAGATTCAAACCCAGAACTATCTGTGTCCTCCTTGCTTGCTACACTCCCACCTTTCTCATCTACAAGCCACAACAACTGTTGGACAACGTTTGGGAGGAAATTTTTCCTTGGAGGCAGGAGGGAAGCTAGGAGGCTGCCTTCTAGGGGCAATCTGGTAATGTGTGGGTTGGGGCAGTATGGAATTTACTTCTCCACACTAAACACATACATCCTCCCAAATAATATAACTTAACACCTAGATTTCCTCCATGTCCAACATTTGTGAATGGTGTCTCTTTGGACTAACATTATCCAATAATATATATACTATGTGGCCCCACTCTGAGACATGGCAAACACTGCTAATCAATTGCAGCTCTTTTCTTAATGAAGCTGAAAGTGGGCTCACCATCCTTCCTGGTAGAGAACACTCCAGGCAGGCATAGCCAAATGGTTTAGGTTGAGCTTTGAAAAGAAAGTGGTTTGCTTTCCAGCATTTATCCTCAGGGTTGCAAGGCAAAGGAGACATAGCATGTGTCTAGGAATTGAAATACAGGTTTTAACCCTGGATCTGACATTAATTTTTTTGAGTGACTTTGAGCAAGTCACTCCACCCTAATCCTTAGTTCACCCATCTGTAAATAAGGGGGGAACTTAGGGTTTCTCCCAAGAATAACATCCTAGGTCCTGACAGGTGTTCAAAGCCAGGTGGAGTTCACAGGGGAACAAAACGCCCTGTTTATGTTAATATGACCCTGTGGCCAATGTTGTGCAAGAAAACACCCTCACACGTATGAAACCACCCTGGAGAGCCATGTCATCTGCAACTTTGAAGAATACAGCTGTATATGGAAGAAAAAACAAACATAGTATCATTTGTTCAAGTTAAGAAAGACAATCTGGCAGAGGCCCACCTCCTGGCTTTCTGTAACGGTTGGCCTCTCCAGCCCAGAACCTCAAGTGTTTGGCCAAGAATCCATCCTCAGTGACGTGGGAAGAGGGGCCCCGGAGTCTTGAGAATATAGCTCCTGGGTCTTCTGTGGCCTTTGTCTTCTCTGAGTTTGGGAATGTGCTGAGGGTGGACAATGAGCTCAGGTAGGCAGGACTGTGGGGTCCCATGACATCCAGATAGCACTGGCTCATGTTGGTTGGGCGCACTCTCGGGGCCCAGCACTGTCAAGTATATGTGTCCTCCCAGCAATCCTATGAGGTAGGAACAATTATCCTCTCTTTCGAGCAGAGGGAATAAAGGCACAGGGAGGTTGAGTCACGTGACATACTGATAAGAGACAGAGTCAGGATTCTATCCCAGGCTGTCAGAGGCTAGGGCCCTTAATTCTAGCCACATATTACACACTTTCCCTAATGTGGCTCTTGGAAATTTTCCCGGGGCTGCTTTAAAGGACTGTCTTCTCTGCTGGATTATAAGCTCTAGGAGGGTAAGTCTCACTTATTTGTCACTGTACCTTTGGTACCTGACAAACTACATGGCATGTAGTAGTATTCTTGGTGAGCCACTGAGGAATGTATGCATAATTGGTACATACATTGATGAACACATAGAGTCCAGCAGGTAAGAATTTAGGAACAATGCTTCTTCCCTAGAATGACAAACTTCCTAAGAGGAAATAGGTTAAACATATAGTCTTGCACCCCATCATGACAATGTTTAAGTCAACACTGGAGCACACACACAGCAGGTAGGCAATAATATTTTATCACCTAGTGACACTGTAGCTGTCTTGTTTGTATATGCACACTCCGTGATGTTCATACAATGACAAACTTGGCTAATGACACATCTTTCAGAGTGCAACCTTGTTAGTAAGTGGTGTACGGCTGTATTATTAAATGGCCACTATAAGGTATTGTGCTGAGGTTTTATATGATTGGTTTCTTTCATTGTCATAACAACCAAATGAGGTACAATTTCATACCTCCTTTATATATGGAGGAAACTGAGAATCAGGGAATACAAGTAAATTGCTCAAAAATCACAGAGGTTTAAATGGCAGAGCAAAGATTCAAACTCAGACCAGTCTCACTTCAAAGGGCCATGATCATTCTATGAGAGGACACAATCATTCTTACTAATGTAAGTCCAGATGAAGCCAGCCCTGGCCAAAGATCCCTTCCTGGGAGAAAATAAAGAGGCATGATGTAGAAAAATGGAGATAATACAAGATGTGAGATAAAATAAGATGTGGAGAAGTTGTGGATTTAAAGTTTGGTGCCTTCGCTAAATGAAGGATGAAGTCATAGGCAAGGTGGCCCTGTCTAGGAACTCCTCCCACAGTTTTCCCAGTGAAGGGGCCAAGCAAGTGCTCACTAAATCCCATTCAACTTGGATGTCCGTGTGACTCAGTGGAAGAAATAGAGCCCAGAAGAGGTCTGAGAGAGGTAGCAGAGTCTTGCTAGAGTGGGGAGAAGGTACTTTCTCTCTGGTCAGATGAAGATGAAGAAACAGTGGAAAAGCAGATATACAACCCAGAGGGTTTTTCCCCTAGATTTACCACTTTGTGCCAGGATCTTGTGCAGCTTCAAAGCCCTTTAGTCACTGAAGGCTTCATCAGCTCACTGCTAGGTGTAGGTGACTGCATCCTCAGAGTAAGACAGATTATGTAAGACAGAACCAACAATATAAAGCCAGGTTAGGACTGGGTGGAAACTATCTAGAAGTCCAGAAGAGTTGTAGTTACAGAACTAGAGAATATTAAGTTTAGGCCACAGAGCATTGAAAGGAATATACTAGGAGCTCTAAGATTTTTATTTTCTTGTAACACAGTACTGCAATATTGCAATCTAAGCTAAAAATTCAAATTTCCAGTTGTTATTGTGGGGAAAATATCTGAAAGTAGTGGACTTGTTCTTCTACAATGAACTTGGGATGCAGCTGCATCAACTAAGAATGCTGGTATAAGTAAAGGAAAAGCCAAGCCAAAAACCTGAAAAGCCCAGAGCTGGATTGGAAGGCAAGTTTGGTGAGATTTACAGTTCAATAAGGCCATTAAGTGTCTGCTTTCCTTTAGCTTCTCAACTCTTCCTTCTAAGATATTGGCTTCACCAAAAAGGCTATCTCTCCTGATAGGAGTAAAATGGCAGTTGTGGTTCTAGAATTGAGAACTGCATTTGATACTATTGAGAGGGACCTAGGTTTCATGTGTGTCAGAATTTCCAGCTGACTGGGTCACCTTGGACTGAAAGAGAAATACAGAGTGTGATAGTTTAAAGAAGAAAAATTGAATTAATGAGGAAGCCAAATGTTTAGGATAAGAAAAAATGAGTGGTATGTGGTAACAGAGATTTCTCTGTACCGAGGAAGCTTGTGTAAAAGCTCTGTGGCTGGAGGAAGTAGGGCGGGCTGGTAAGATTGGTAAAGTTTGGTGAGGTTAGAGAAGTGTGAGATGAATCTGAAAAAGAAAGAGTCAAGGAACCTAATTAGATGAATATTCTCTGCTACGTTAGGGACTTTTATCTCTCTCTTAGGACCGGTGGTATACCATTTAAGGCATGTGTGTCTGTGTATGTGTGTGAGAGAAGCAGAGAGACAGAAAGTCAAGAGAGCTGATTAGATCTGAGCTTTGAAGAGATCACTCTGAGTATTACAGGAGAATAGACAGGGGCAGGTCAGAGAGGTACAAATAGGTCCCAAAGCTGACATCTCCATTGTACAGGACTACAGTGTACCAGCATTCCTGCTGGGCAGAATACTGCATGCAGATTATCTAGGATTCCTGGCTGTCCACCTGCTCCATTCCTACCCCCACCCTGTATCCCTAGCCAGTTTCACTACAGGGACAGAGAGTATGCCATGTCCCCCTCCCCCCCCCCCCCGATTCAGGGCATCTCTCAAGTGGCTGCTCATGCTGGAAATGCGGCTTCCAGAGGTGGAGAGCCCAAAATTCTGCTCAAAACCAGGACCAGATAATGATATTCAGGCAATCAAACAACACATGTGTGTGCCTGTACACAAATGTATTTACAGTGGTACCCAACATACCTGTCAGAGACCTTTTCCCTGGAAAGACATTAATTTTGTGGGAGGCTGCTCTGTTTCTCACCTTTCTCTTGCTCTGTTTTAGGAGAATACATCCAGACCATGTGTTTTTGCTTAGCCTGACGCATTCCAAGCAGGCTTTCCATACTCCATGTGTTGGTGAAAAGTCTTCCCTTCAGAAGCAGAAGCAAAGCAAGTCTAACCCCCATCCCTCCCACCCCTGTGTTTTCTCCAGGGCCGCGGAAGCACCCATTCCATTTCTGGGTTCTTGGGGATGCTGACAGGCCCCGCATGAGTCACAAGATCACTTCAGGCAGAGACATGGATGAAAGAGATGGCAAGTGACCCCTGTGGAGTTCTTTTAGCTCCTATGGTTACCAAATACTTTCCCTCCTTGGGACCTTTGACCATGCACTTTTACTGCCTGACACCTTCTAATTCCACTTTTCACCTCCTCAGGACTCAGCTTCATTGAGCTCTCTAAAGCAGCCTTCCCTTCCATACCACCTCATCCCAAGCAAGCCTCCCCTGAACCTGTCTGTATCTGCACTCAAGTGGTTCTTTTATGGCAGTCATCACACGTGATAATTGTTGCATTGAGTTCTTTACTTCCTTTTGCATCTTTCTTACAGTGACTAGGGGTTGGCAAGCTATGTCCCACAGGCCAAATCCAATCCATTGTCTGTTTTTGTAAATAAAGTTTTATTGGAATGCAATCACTCACACTTATTTCTTTATGGGTCATCCATGGATAATTTATGGATATCTTGGATAACTATGCAGGGCAAAGTTGAGTTATGACAGCAATCTTACAGTTTCCCAAACATAAAATAGTTACTATCTAGCCAATCGCAGAAGCAAATTTAGTGACCTCTGTATTAGACTGTTAACACCACAAAAGGACTAAGTCTGTCTTGTTTGTCAACATAAAAGGTATAATTGAAAAACACAGCGAATGTTTAAATTAAAAAAAAAACTTAGAGTAAAGGACATACTACCATTAATCCCCTGAACATACTCCCGCTAACTTCAAACATAACCCATTGTTCTTGCCACTTTCTGAAGCAGTTCTGGAAGTCTTTCATCAGTGTCTAGTTGGGTGGTCATGGCTGCCTCAGTATCCTGAGTGGATTAAAAATGTTTACCTCCTATGGTCATTTTGACTTTGGGGAAGAGCCAGAAATCACATGGTGGCAGATTCGGTGAATAAGGTGAATGAAGACACACCGTATGCTTTTATGAGATAGATTTTCTATTGGATGGGATTCCACTGTGGCATTTGGTGTATTTTTGATCACCCCTTGCAAAGACACAAAAGGGGACCCCCAGAACTGCTCCAGAAAGCAGCAAGAATGGTGAGATAAGTGTGTTTCAAGCAAGGGGTGTACTTTGATGGAGATTAATGGCAATGTGTCTGTTATTATAATAATTTTTAAAAATTTCAACATTTACCATATATTTTGATCACATCTCTTATTACTGGTACCTAAGGCAAAGTCTGTTTCACAGTAGACACCTGATAGGCATTTATTGAAAGTCAGACCCTCACAAAGCGTAGGTTAGGATTGCTGGGTCAGTGAACAAGAGGATGAGCTTCGTCTCTAAGCTTCACCCTCACTGTCAATGTCTCCTCTTTAAGATTTCCTTTGTACTTAGTTTGAAGGTAAAAGCCAGAAGAAAAAATTTCAGTTGAGTAACACAGTGCCTTATGAAAAGTCAGCAATAAAAGGCAAAATTTTAAGGAGAGGAACCTCAAACTGGATTTTAACAGACCAGCCAAGCAGTAAATATCAGCAATTTTGACTTATGAGCCCACAGGGAGTTGGCCATAGTTACACCAGCCAGCTCAAAGAAGGAAGCACAGATGGAGGGAAATGCAGGGGGTTGCAGAAAAGCAATCAATCAATCAATCAATTCATTATCTTGATTTTCTTCCAAATGGGCAAATACTTCCTGCAGATAAATGGTTAGCATTTGTGCAAATCTTAATAAAGCACTTGGGAAAAAAACTTTTGTAACCACAATCAAGATTTTAAAAGTCATCCAGTTATGGGAAAATATTAGGAATAATTTACCTGGACTCAGTGATAGAATACTTGGAAAATAATAATTTGACCAGAGTGATCCAGCATGGATTTATATAAGGAAGAGTTTAATAGCTAACCAGGTGGAAATAAGTTTCTTCAATAAGTTACTACCATGGGAGATAAGAGAAAGGCAGATATTTACATGGACTAGTAGGCAGCCTGAGGCACAGTTTTATATATTATTGGCTACAAGATGTATGAGGGACAATTAGGAGCTTGATGAATACACTGTACATACTGCCCAAAACAAACACATCTCATTTTTCAAGCTGGAAAAAGGGTAAAAAGTCCAGTGGACTTAGTGATCTTTCTTGTTTATAAACAAGGCAGAAACTGATAAAATGTAAAATAACCCAGTTTAACAGAGTCAACCTTTGCATCTTCTGGTCACCTAGTTGTATTTGTTTGTTTCAAATCTTTCGGCCCAACTGTTATAACAGAAGCAAAGATAATGTAAACTGGGAAAGGCATCAAAGCAATAGTAGTTGATCTGTGCTATTTGTAGCTGAGGCAGCTGGAGGTCAGCAGGTCTGTGCTTCATTACCTGAATATGCTGCAAAATACCTTTCCAGACATCTACAGGACCCATTATCCATTTCCACTGGAGAAGGCTTAAAAAGCCGGATGTCAACAGTGCTTCCCAAACGAGTCTGGAGGGCATAGGCTGGACCAGGGATGGGGCTGGGTGAGGCACTTGGGCACACCATTTAAGGGGGCACATACTCTCAGGTGTCCACTCTTCACTTCCACATCCCTAAGGACAAGGGCTCCTTAAGGGCAGCTCACCCTGGGCACCTACTCCTCTCAACTGGGTCTAGCTCCTGTCTGGATCATGCTTAAATGGGAGACACATTTATAGTGTGGGGAAAGAGAAAATTCTTAAGATTACAACTGTATATTTGGAAGACAAACTAGTAAGGACAAAATTGAGGCATAAGCCTATTCTCATACATTCAGGAGATAAACAGATAAATAAGCAGAATGAATAGGAATAAGAATTTGTTCCCCTGAACAAGGAAAGATACTATACTATTTTAAGGGGAATCAACACAGAAAGATGAAGTATCAGACCATAAGACCAGCTAAAAAGTTACAGGCATCGCTGGGACTTTGATCTTTTTTTATCCTCTAATATGAACTTGAGATAGCTATAAAATACTAAACTACTGTGTCTACAGAGCCCCAAAATGTTTCATTGGGAATTTCCTCACGTTGTGACCAATATTAAGTTAGTTCAGGAAAATATGATGAGTTCTGCCTATTCAAGCATAGGGCTCTAATGGCATATCTCCTGTTGGCCATCCAAAATGAACTTCACGCCAAGAGCACTTTGACATACTGGTGTTGCAAAATGATATTATCCAGCTCCTCCAAGTACAGACAGAATTCTTCCCTATCATGTATCAGCAAAGACACCTTATAGTCCATTGTCTCTCTCAGGTCAAACCTCCCACCTGATTCAGAGCTGGTGCTTCTGGTTCCTACGGAAACAGTGCAATAATCCTAGCTGGAATGTACTGGGATGCTGCTACTTCCCTAGTTGTGAGCTCAGCCTAGCCCTCTCCCTCCAGCTCCGTCTGCCTTGTTTAGCAGGGGAAACAAGATCTACTTTCTAAGTCACCCAATGGCAAGACCTCACAACCCGCCATCTAAGGAAGGAAAATAAGCAACAGCATATGGTTCTCTTATCTGAAGCAGCCTAAAACTTAGGTGCTCATCATGTGCAGCGGTGCCTGAAGAGATGCTATATTGATTATGAGATACAATTGTGAATTTTATTACCTCCTGGGAAAAAATAGGAAACATAAAAGCAAGAGTTTTGTGCCAGATGTAAGAACTAAGCGCTGCAGTTATCTGATTAACATCAAGACATGTGCTTTGAATGTGAAACACTTGTAAGTCTACCCAGGTGAGCTCTCGATCTTATCTGCACCATTTATGTCAGATTTTACATGCCTGCCCTTCTCAAATGGAACCCAGATGAAGTGCAATCTTTTCCTTAGAAGAGTCTGAGGAGTTCTTTGGATTTCTTTATTTGGAAGCCAGGGTAATTTTTCTAAGAGAATGGCAAAACATTAGGACCTTGCTTGGGTTTAGAGGGACAACCTGTTAGGGTACCAAGAATGATGAGACCCAAGGGGACTAGAGGACACTGTTGTGGTGCCTCTTTCTGGCACTTGGCCATAGGACTGTTGCCCTAGTCTTTCCTTCTCCCAGAGATACTCTGCTTTTACTTCTCATGGTGGCATCTTTCAATTCTGCATACTCAGTGCAACACAGAGAGAACCTCCACTCGCTGCTTGGAGGGTGCCGTGGGAGGCAGCAGCAAGGCAGAGTCAGGCCACGATGTTCCTTCCAGCCTCCCCAACGTGAACAGTATTCACCATTTATAAAAAGAACGATACTCAAAGAAAGCAAGCAGGGAGAAAGGCAAGTTGTGCTCACGCGTTTCTGGAAGGAATATAAACTGATAATGCCTTTCAGTTGGACAATTTGGCAATATATCTCAAAAACTCTTAATGTGTGTATAACCTTTGGTTTAGCAACTCTGTGCAGAGAAATAATCTGACAAGGGCTCAAAAGATATATGCACAAGGATGTTCCCTAGAGCACTCAGGATGATGAAAAAAATTGGAAATCACCTAAATTTCCCAACTGTAGGAGCTGGTTATCATGGCTCTCCCCTACAAAGGAAGACCAATAGCCATTTATAAGGTGGATGATGTTCATCAACCAGAACAATGTTCCCTCTATATTTTTTAAAGTGAAAAGGTAAGTTTTCAAAGAGCATGCAGAGTCTAATCCAATGCTATAAATATAAAAGTGTGTGGGTGTGAGGATGGGGAAAATTGCACCAAAATATTACCAGTGATTATTTCAAGGTGAGGGATTATGAGTAAATTAGTTTTATTTTTTGGGTATCTCTCTCATCATTTTCTACAGAAGATATATATCATGTGTAATAATTTTTTAAAAATGCCCTGCAACTCTAGTACCCTCATTTCAAACCTTTGAAGGGTTGTTCATTACTTCCATTGGACCTGTTCCCCCTTTAACTCTACAAGGATGACATTCAATATGGTCAGCCTCCATCTGCAAGAAAAGTGAGGTGTTGGAGGCAAAGCTGGCAGAAAAGATGATGTCTGCACTCTGTGAAGGAGGTTTCAGACATGCTCCTCCCTCCTGCCTGCAGCTCCGTGCCTGGACCGGATTTTCTTCCCAAGCTCTGCTCACCTGCTCTGGCAGGCATTCAAATTCCTTCCCCACCACTCTCCCTGGCTTTGGAAAAGAGAGGGTTTTTAAGATTCTTTACTGCCTTCCTCCCTGCACATAAAGATAAAGAATTATTTATCTCTCCTCTCCTGTTAAATATGTCATCCTTCTCTCAAACTCTATCTCCTTCCATGCTCTCCCAGGTCAGTGGAGCCGTGGATACTGCTCAGCACCATGGTTATCAGAAAGCTTATGCATCCCTCTTCCCCCACACGCTTGGTGAACTGCTACTCTTCTTGTGTCTTCCAACACAACATGTAAATCATCTCATTTGCCTCTCCCTGTTATCCTGGAATGCCAAGCCCTTTCTCCTCCCAAATAAAGCAGGGATGG